TTTTTTTTTTTTGGGGGGGGGAGGTCTCAACACCTTTCGCTTTCATGGCCTTTAAAAAACATTTCTTTTAATGTGGGTGTTACAGAAAAACGAAGAACACAGGCACCAGATATATAAGTCCTGTTTCTGGAGACACTCAAGCTTTGGAAGTCACTAAACTTTGGCAGCCATTTTCTCGCTAATTTTACCTCTCACACAAGGCTGCCCCACCTCCTTCAATCGCAAATCTTGACTTCTATTCCACATAAACGGGCATTTTTTTCGCACAGGGCAGGACAAACGAACAAACTTAAAGATGGTACCAATAACTTTACATGCCCAAAAATTGACGAGCGCCTGATTCCACCGCGTCGTGACAAAATAATGAATGTCGAAAATGTTCCCCGGTGTGGAATGAAGGCGTACTATATAAGTACATGTATGTCAAAGCCAACGAAGTAGAACGCAGGAAGGGTGTCAATGAACTTGCGGCCCTCAGAGATGGGCGAATGAACAGAAGAAAGGTAACATCAGCGGCCACCTGTTTTAGTTTTAGTTTTAGTAAGTCGTGTTTTACGGCACTTGCAACACAATAAGGTCATATAAGTGCCGAAGATTTGAGGTGTTACAAGAGAGTAACAAATATAAAAAAGAAGGAGAGATAAGGACGATAAATGTTTAATAGGAAAGAAGAAGCAAACCACACTAGAGCACCCGCCAACCACCTACGCGACCACCTGTCCAAGACTTCTCACCTAGCATTTGTCACACCATCATGACACTGTCCAAGAAAACCACCAGTACAAACGGTCGCTTTTAAGCACAAGGGGGCTATCCCGAAAAATGCTGTTTTGAGAAAATCAAAGGTAAAGTTTTTGGACCCTTGTTCAGTTTCCCTTAATAAAGACAAGGATAGTTTTCTCTATAACCAAACAATTAACATACACAGGTCTACTAATGAAACCAAATTTTTCATCTATGTAGGGCAATGCCCACTTTTGGTGAAAGTCAAGATTTCTGGAAACCCGAAATCTGAGATAGCCCGCTCTTCCTTAAAAGCGACCAAATAGACCACATCTCACATAGCATTTGTCACATCATCATGACACGGTAGGGTGAAGTATCTTTGATGACGCTATCCAACACGTCCCTCTGTCTATGACTTCCCTTTTTTCTTTTCGCCACTGGGCGACCTCCTTGAACATTGTCGACGGTATATCAGGAATTTCAAAATAAAGTTTCGACGGTATATCATGAATTTAAAGATAAAGTGATCTTAAAATGCACCACGACGCAGAGAAATGAGGCGCTCGCCAAATGTTATGCTTGTGGAGTTATTGATGGTATCATTTTGAAGCTTGGTCATTTGTTTATTTTTCGATGGAAAAAAATACTCGTCTATCTTGAATAGAACTTCGGATATTTGTGATTGAAGGATGTGGAGTCTCCTAGTTTCAGTAGTAAAGTTCGTAAGATAATGGTCTTTGGAAACTGTAAATTTACCTCTTTGCGCATATTATGAACGATTTTCAGTAAAATCCACACAGAAATGTGTTTTAAATAAAAGGACAAAAATGTGTTGAGAAAAAAAATGTAATTGCCCTAAGCCTATAAAAATTCCAGTTTCTTTTACTTCATTATTTTGACGAGCAGCTGATTTTACTACGCTACCTTAAATGTTGCATTTATCACCTTACTTGACGCAATATAATCATGAGCCATTTGGAAGACAGGGGCTTGATCCCTAAAATTAACACCAGGCTGAGACTTAGAGATAAAAGGATAAAATGTACTTGGAAGGAAAGACAAGGAAAACATTCCTCAATCTTGTTTCAAACCCCAAACATCTGGGTTGGGGGGG